ACTGACCAAAGGAGCAAACAATTGCTAACATTTCTTTATCATGAACTTCATAATTTAATTCTGTTTGTATCATTGTTTTTGAAAAGAAAGCAACTGGATGCCAGTTATTATCTTCTGGAAGTTGCGAGAAAACTGCGGCTACAACTCCGTCTAAGGCGTCAGTTTCTATTTGTGATGGACACTGAGGATTGTAATGAGCTAATAATAGAGACGTTATAAGTCGACGTTGCAGTTCTTTAAAAGCACCTAGACATTCATCTGTAAAATCAAACTGTCGACCTTTGTGAGTGAATCTATTTAGAGGCTTTGCAATTATTCCATAGTCACGGATAAATCGCCTGTAAAAATTAAAAAATCCCGGAAATGATTGTACAGACTTTAGGTTTGTTAGAGGCTTCCAGTCTTTAATGACTGCTAATTTTCTGGATCAACTTGAATACCATCAGTACTTACAATAAACCCAAGGTAGCGCGTCTTGGTGACTCGAAACTCGCATTTTTTTCTATCAGCCTGCAGACCCGCATCACGAAGACGTTGCAGAACTAGTTTGACATGCTTATCATGTTCCGAAGGATTATCAGAGTCTATGAGGATGTCATCGACGTATGCAGTACAGAAGACGTCAAGATAATCAAAAAGGACATCATTCATATACCTTTGGTAGGTTGCTGGTCTGTTGGTGAGTCCCAAAGGCAAAACTTTATACTTTTAGGCCCCATAGAGTGTTCGGAAAGTGGTTGGTTCTTCGGATGCAGATTCCATACGGATACAATGAAATGCTTGGCAAATATCTAATTTTGTAAAAAGTTTTGCCCCATTAAGTCTGGTTAGAGTTTCGTCTATCAATGGGAGTGGGTAACAATCCTTTTTTGTCAAAGCATTGAGCTTTTGGTAGTCCACACAAAATTGTAGTCCACCATTTGGTTTCTTCACAAATAAGATAGGCGAAGAAAATGGAGCTTGACTGGGTTCTATCCATCCTTTGTCTGGATTATCAATCAGATATTCTTTTACTAATCGAAGCTCCTCAGTTGACTGTTTTTACAGAGGACCACATGTCATTTCGGCGTCTTTCTCAACTTGAATCATATGATCATAGGGCCAATGAGGAGGAATAACATTTGAGTTATTTTGGGAGAATACATCAAGAAAGTCATGATATTCTAAGGGAATCTGCGCAGCAAGATCCTTGGCTTCAGTTTGATCTTGTATAGATTCCCGCCTAGTTAATTCTTGGTTGATTTCCTACTTCTTGCTGTATACATAGGGAATTGTAATTGTTAGCGCCGATCATAACAATTTATGTTGCTAAGCAACCATATCCAGACCGCAACATTGGTGGCCCATGTAGCTGGCTAGGTCCTATATTCCATCCCTACCGTACTGGCGCAGACGGTATAAACACAAGGGATTAATTCTGTAACAGGAGCAGACTAATGCAAAATATCTAGTACGCTTTCATTTTAGTTGCGAGCCATACGCAGGGCTTTGATGTAGACTTATGTAATACAGAGCAATTATTTTTGAAATAGATATGTATTTTTAGAAAATATCAATTGATTTATTTTTAATTTTTAATTTTGAATGAGGACCATTGTACATTTCCTTTGGTGTTGAAAGCTGTCCCCATTAATTTTGACTTTCACAGAATATTGTTGGATAGTACCCCTGCTTGCAAAACTAGTCAACAAACTAGACATGGGCCTGCATGAAGACTAAACCAATCTAAGCAATATGCACAGGGATCTAACCCCAGTCATTTTGACAATTGTATCTTTGGCATCCTTTAGAGACTTGTTTTTTTGCATCAGATTTTAATTGCGTATGCAGCTATCTAGCTATGACACAATATCAAAGAAAAGTACAGAAAAGATGACTCAATTTACAAGAAGAGTACTCATGCATCGGATTTCATTTGCAAGTACCACTGCAAAGTTATGGTGGCTTTTTCTTCACCCCAAGTCAATCCTCATCCATGAATACCCACCCAGGGGAACGTCTCAAAAACCCTGGGTTATCCAGACATACCTCTGTCATCCATCAACTTTCCTCTGCGCGAGATGTAATCTGAGATGTCTCCTTCCTAAGTGGAGTAGGTGCCTGTCACAGTCTAAGCATAGTCACTTGAGCAACCTTATGGTCAGAGGCAGTCTATTTTCAATCTATGGTGAACTACAGATCGAGGAGGATAATAACAGCTACTTTATACATGATTATTATCCCAGCCAATGACACGGCTTTCTATCTGTTTACCTGTTTACCTGTTAACCCGAATATCCATATATCGGCTCTCGTATCCCACTATTGCGCCTCATTCTCGGAAGTTGTACAATATTGATATTGCCACTTGTGAGCCCCTACTTCCGAGAATAGGCTCCGCCTAGTGTTACGCTAAGCCTACGTTGGACAGCGTAGGTGTGACGGGCTATGCCCGGATTGGGACTGGTCACTAGGACCACTCTGTCTCCGAGGTAAGGTAGTGGCAGGGCAACGCTCCTGGATAGGCGAAAGGGGCGCTAAGGGGGTGCGCACCAGATGAGGAGTATGATACAGGAGAAGAGTTGTGCCGGTAGTAAGGATGATTCTCAGGGGCCAAGGAAGTGAGTTAAGACTAGTCTACACAGAGCATATGACGTATGGGAGAGTACGTGGTAGATGGTCTCCCCAAGGAACAAGTTATTAATTCCTATTGAGTTATTGTCTTTCAAGTACATCTGAATTCATTAAACCCTCACAGTAGGCTACAGGAAATTATCGGCTTACAAGCTATCACAGTGCCCAGGCTACTCAAACTATATCAGAGAACACCACCAGGAGGCGGATCACAACACCTTCCATCATTTGCTTGTGTTTACAGTGTTAGCTGCATTCTCGCAAGCGAAGTCTTGGCGCGCACAAAGCTCAATTCGTAAAACTCCTTGCCAAAATTCGGAATATACCCTTCGGGGTTATACCCTTCCTTTGCATCATCTTGTGAACTTGCCCTGATCCCTCTCACGTCCATCCCAAAGAGCTATCTCCCAGATTTGTGCACCACGCTATGCTTCCTCCGTCGGGTATAAATATCGGCGTGGGCGTGTATTTGGTGATCAACTGAAGCCAGAGAAAGTCGATGAGAGGTGTGGATCCTTAAGAGACTGTATACTAGACACATCCTGTAATGTTAGAGAGGACAGTCATACACCGTCTTAAGACTTCACTATATCTAAGATATAGCAGAAATCCAGAGACACTGTTGACCTACAATTTTCGTACATCCACATTTTACCACCGTACCATCCTAGGTACTTATAACCTCACCTGTACAATTGTATTACTATGACAAGTAGACCCCCCACCGCTGCTTAGGCATGCTTTCACCTTTTTATGGACAGTCATGATAAGAATCATGACAAAGAGGTGCTAGATGCAGAAATATTAGGGTCCAGGAAGGCTCTGGAAGCCGCACTGGAACTAATGGAGAACAAACAGCCCAGGAAAGGGTGAGAGTCGTGGCAAATTTTCTTGCTTCTAGACAGTCAACAGGCAGTCAGAGCGCTAGTGACGGATCATACTAAACTAGCCTTGAAGATATACACAACTTCCGCGCGTTATCCAAAAGGCAAAAATATCGGCGAAGTGGGTGCCAGGGCACTCAGGGATCCAAGGAATCGGAGAGGAAGATATCATTGCCCGTGCCGCACTCCGACAATTGCCTGGCCCGGATACACAACTAGGATACATTACTATGGCATATCTTCATAGAATGGCGTTTCATAGACGACAGATATTGCTTGACAACTGGTGGGAAGAGACTTGTCCGCCTAAATACCGCCAACTTAACATATGTGTGCGTAGACGCGAACCACCCGAGCTGGCACTCTCTAGGCACCTCTTCCACGAACTAATCGCAGCACGAACGGGTCACGGAAATTTTGCAGCATACCATCGCCGTTTTAATAATCCATACGTTCCTATGCAGTGCTCTTGTGGGAAGGAAACTACTCCAACCCAGTTCATCCACTGTAGCCACCACGCACAACACACGCGTAGGCTCAGAAAGTCTATGTCCCACGTTGACTTTATCAAAAAGCTTCTCTAGCCTATTTTCCACGAAAGCTTCAAAAAATTTGCGGAGGAACCGACTGTTTTGGTAACCAACCTGCCCACTCATCCACTGCTCTCAGCGGGGATCAGATAAACTAGTCATTGCCACAATTCATGACACGAAAGGGATCGGAGCAAGAAGTGTCGTTTCTCTGAGGAAATTTTTACTTACTTGAATTTAGGGGTAAAGGATGAAGTTTCGATTTCGGAGTAGGAGTAGGTGGTGTCTTCTGAGTTATAATTTACCTTCTACTTTTTCTGTAGCGGGTCTCGCGGTTGGAATGAGCTGGGCCTGTAAGCAGTGATCCCCGCCGGCTCCACCAGTCTTGTACCTATAGTGGACCTAGAGCTTTAGCTTAGTACTTTAATATAATAAAATAAAAAATGTCCGGTGCCATGTGTACATGTGGGATGACTCTTTTGAAGATAGAGACACTCAAATTCTGGATTTCATTTGCAAATACCACTATGAGGTATGTTCGCTTACACAAACAATCGACCCTCCTCCGTTAGTACCCACCAAAGGGAATTTCAAAACCTTTGGTTATCCAAGCATGCCTTCGTCATCCATGCATATCAGCGCCGCGAGAAGTGTGATTGTGTTTTGCCGGATTTGAACCAATAGTCTCCTGTCTCGAGTGGGATATGTATCCTGGTTATCCACTCTCCTCTTATGGCCAGTCCAGATGATATACCACTGCACAATACAGCCATGGTAATGTTCGCAGTGTCGCCTGCACTACTCCCGTCCCACCGTCACTGTAATTAGAATCCGCACATACACCATCTATGAAATTAAGGTCCACAATCAAATTCACATCCCTGGACAGAATGAGTCAGCAAGTAACAGGGTCACGATTTTTATAATTTGAATTTTCAGTATCTGTAAGATCTCCATTTCTCATCGATGCTGCATGTCTAATATGCCCTCTGAATTAGAAGAGGTATGTTGGAATATCTATCAAGTCTAAATTCCCAACTGAACAATTAAGCTCGTAGATTTTATATCTCATGGAAATACAAAGATTCGACAGCTTGGTGATATTACCCTCACCTACCCTTATCATAAGATCGAACTCACCATTTTAGCCGTTGAAAATCTTGTCCCGTTTTCATTATCACAGCCTGCAGTTTTCAAGACCAAGCAACTTCTTCCTGTGAAGGATCTTATGCTACTAGTTCGCGACTATAAGGTATTCAAATGGCTCAAAATTACGCGGAAATCTAATGAATAATCCAGCCAATTGCCCACAATGCGCTAACAATCCTTATCAATCTTTCTTCAGATAGTGAGGTCCTAGAAACTTTATCTTCAAACTCTGAGTTCTTGAAATCAATACTCAGTCGCATATCCGTATTAAAATGGTTTTCAAAGGGATCGGCGACTTATTAACCCATTTTAGAAACCTACCGAGCCAAATGTGGACGAAATATCTATTCTTTTAGCCAATTTAGGGAAAGTTGATAATATTAAAACAATACTCTCCATGGAGCTAGTTGCCCCATCTGATCTCAAGTCAGACGGAAAGGTCATTAACCAACTTTTGGACGTTTTTGTCAAAGGCGCAGATGGCACATACAATACTGATGCGAATTACGACTACCTGTCGTATCTCTTTTCAGATCTTGCCAAGCATCCAGAGGGCCGGGACCACCTTCTTGCCCGGCAGAAATATGATGGGGTAATTCCACTTTGCAAGCTCGCTGTTTTCACATCTCACCATTCGCACGTTCGGCGGCAGGGTGTAGCATCAACAATCAAAAACGTATGCTTTGAGACTTCTCAACACGCTCGCATGATACTTAATGATGATGATGGAATTGGAATTCTCCCTTATTTGCTCCTACCTCTCATGGGTGGCGAAGAATATGACGTGGATGAAATTGAGGGTATGCTCGAGGAATGTCAACTCTTACCTTCAGACAAGAAGCGGGAAGTTGATTTACAAATCATCGCCACACACATTGAGAGCTTGATACTCCTGACCCTATCGCGAGAGTGTAGAAATTACCTACGTGAGATTAGTGTTTACCCTATCATAAGAGAGCTACATCTAGCAGTCGCAGATGACACTGTCAGAGATAATTGCGAGCGTTTAGTTCAACTGCTTATGCGGGACGAAGAAAATCAAAGTAATAACAGTCCAATTCAGGCTCTATCAAGGAAGCCAGTAATTTCAGAAAAGAAAAATATCTCGTCAACTTCGAAATCTTCTCCCATTTCCAATAGTTGGGTACAGCAGGTGGAGCAAGATGATGACGATGAGATTGTGGAGGTCTAGTAAATTTTGAGGAGAGCTTACTAGCAAAATTTGGTTAGAGTATACCTTACTATCTAAATCTATTATGGCCTCATCATTATAATTTCTCTAGTTATAGTTAATTTCAAGATTCTAATTTTAGCACTTTCCTCCCTGCAGAATTCTTGACAGAGCTAGTCACTTTGTGAAATATTTTTCGTTTTTATGGTTAAAGAACAGGTTTCTGTGAGACAAGAAAACTGGGCACATAACGGCGGTGTCCCCCTTTAACCTCCATCTCTTACTCTAGATTCTGCAGAGCCGAGATTCAGTGTAACCTTTTCAACTTTGAGCTGATTTATCTAATCCTCCTTCAAAGATACATTTCCAGTAACGCACAAGACTATCAAGACAACGATAATGATGCTGGCAGAAGTGAAGGATATTGCGCTACCTGATGCTACAAATGTATTTAGAGAAACCCTATTCATATTCCAAAATATTCCAAAATATTCTACCCACCGACAGGTAAACAACTAGCCCACGTAAGCTAAGAGAAAATCCGATCTGATCTCAAGAAAACTAGATTTCGGCTTGTCAACAAAATCTTGTCTTTAATTCTTTACATCCGACAATTCTAGCCAGGATGGCGTCCAAACTACACGAGTTACTCGAATGCTCCATTTCTGCAAAGACCTTTTCTCGCTAACCTAAGCTATTCCACGCCAATCACTCTCGACCAAGACTTTTCTGACATCCTTTCACGACCTTCAGTTATCCTTAAGCATGAATCGGGGGAGAAGTAAGGAAGAGAAATACCCTTAGCTAAACATAGATCTGCTGTGCCTGGCTAGCCGGACCTCTCGGACGCTTCAGAAGGGAGGCTATATCTTCAGATTAAGTCCTGATGTTGGTAGTATGAAAGCCTGGCGCCCAGTGATTTTTGAGAAATTTAACACCGGCTACACAACCACAAATGGCCATCATTTCGTCGGCTGGAGAGGCGACATGTTGACGGAATAGTAGCACCTCTGGGAGTGCACTCCGGTGAAGACATATGGGAGTAATACTACCGGAAAAATACTGTGAAGGGTTATCTTATTTTATTTTATTATTTCTTTTTAAATCATCTAATGTGTATTCAGCTATCTAGCTATGGCACATGACCAGTGCTATTTATATATGCAGGATGACTCTATTGATGTTAGAGACACTGATACTCTGGATTTCATTCGCAAATACCACTTTGAGGTATGCTTGCTTACACAAACAGTCGACCCTCCTCCGTATGTACGCACCAAAGGGAATTTCGAAACCTTTGGTCATCCAAGCATGCCCTCGTCATACATGCATACTAGCGCCGCGAGAAAAGTGGTTGTGTTTTGCCGGATTTGAACCAGCGATCTAGTGTCTCGAGTGGGATATGTGTCCAAGCTACAGACTCCACTTCGCAGACCAGCTAGGATGATGTACCACTGCACCATCCAATCATGGTGGTGTTTATAGTGTCGCATGTACTCTGTGAAGTGTTAGCTGATGTGATAGCTAGTAGGCCGATATCCCCCTGCAGCGTGGGCTATTCAGCACAAGCATATTCGTAACATCAGCGCCAAGTCACAGTAGTATTCAAGGTTGGAAACTGCTCGTGCGCGCAGCATTGTTGGGACTAGCTTACACCTTAATAGCAGGGGTTCCACTGGTGAATAGCCACCAGTCATCGGAACAGGAGAATCATGTATGTAAATAAGGCGTTTGGTGTTGCAGTATACCTGCTTTCCAGCTGATAAATGAATTACCTTTCGATGTATGAACGCCCAAGCTTCACATATTGAAATTGTTACAATACGAGGGAGTTTGCTGTTCGAAGCCAAGATATACACGGCTGTAAGGGGAAAGGAATCACACGTTTGTATGTCGTCATTGACTGATTGATTATTATGTGCGTGTGTTTATTGTACTGCTTGAGTCATAGACTATCGAGCACATTGGGCTCCTCTCTGACCCAAGCCATACCTTGTACAGTGCTCCTTGCCTCTCATGTTTCTTGAAAGATCATTGATATGTTGCCTTTGATAAATCGCCCATCAGCTCAGAATTTGCCCATGGCATTCGGCCACCTTTCCACAGAACCTTCTACCTAAAAAAAATTATTGGTGGTAGTTGAAACTCAGTGCGCGGGAAACAGATGCTGGGTCCATCCTGTCACGTCAAAAAATTCATATCCATATCCAAATTCAAATGCGTGCGCAGGAAATGTCTCAAAAAAAGTGCAGCCCCAGTCAGGCGAGGCCTAGACACCGGGACCACATGAGGTGCGCATATTCATCTATATCTTCCTTCTTTGTAACAGTCGAGGCCGACTTGACCCAATCCTCCACATCTGTGTCGGGTGCTGGGTACGCTCCGGAAACTCATCGGATGGCTTTTCCTCCATGATCAAGGGTTGGTGATGAGAAGTTCTTCGACCCTCCCATCTGATCTGCTCGTGGTTTGCTTCATAATAATGGTGATAGGGGGTTGTGTTGAGATATGAAGACGATACAAACCACGAAAGCGATGGGGAATCCTCATCGAAGTGAGGACTTTGTTACTCAATCTTGGCTCTGTAGACTCTACAGTGACAACTGGAGGTCTGTATGGGAAACCACTAACAGGTGTTGAGAATAGTTCCCCGATTGGCTATTATTCTAACGTGCCATTCACAAGCCCTACACATAATTTGACTTGACATGGACAGTTGATACTGAGAGACTGAATACTATCAAAATGATCAATTCAATGTGCAAAAAGAGAATAATTAATGTGAGCCAGGAAAAAACATGAAAAAACCAAATTTCTATGTCCGTTGCCGTACGACTCGCCTGGGCCCCTCGCGATGTTGTATACAAAGAGATCAATTTCTACATCAACGTTTTGACTAACGTCAACCGTCGCAACACTGATCGAAGTCATTTTCTAATACCCCCATCTACCAAACTATCGTGGCGTGTTCTATATTTAAAGTATTGATAGCGCTAATCAGAATAATAGTCTCGGCGCCCGCAAGCACCACAAAGTCGAAAACCCTCGAAAAATGTGAGTCATTTGACGGTCGTATAGTTATTATAACAATAAACATAAATAAACCATGAAATATAAAACTTCAATTTAGAATTTGCTTAGAGACTCAGTTTCTATTTGAGCAAGGAACGTGAAATTTACTATTTGCCATTCTGCTTGTGATTACTAATCATACTCCGCATAATTGTACATGGAGCTAAGTCGCATACGTTGTTCGCATTGATACACCAAGCAGTAGTTGAGAAGCTGGAACAGATTTGATGAGTAAATACTCTACAGATTTCTGTAACTTACATTAGAACTTCAATCAGTGAATCCCCAGGAAATCATGCAGCTATTCGGCGAGTCTGAGTTACGCAAAGATAGAAAGATCGGAATTGCGTGCGTTAGACTAGGTTCATGAACGAGATGTGTAACAGCGGCAAATTTTATGTGTACTACTCCTTCAATCATTAAACCCAACATCGTAAGCTTAGCGTGTAATCTAGCCTAGCTGTACAGCGCTAAATGATGTTGCATTTGGACGCCCCTCATCAAAGCCGCTCGGGAACGTTACCTACCCTGTATTTGTCATATCTATGTCGACCATACATCTCACTGCTATAATTCAACATTTATTCTTGAAACTTTTGCTCAACCTTGCCGTCAAAAAATGTATTTGAAAGGCGAAGATGTCTTGAAACATAACACGAGGGAAAGCTGCTGGGTTATTATCCACGTAGGCCAATCATAATTATTCTTTGACTAATCATGTAGCCAACTCTATATAGGGAAAAGCATATGATGTCACTGAGTTTTTGTCAGGTTTGTGAAGTTCTGAGAAATGAAGCGTAAACAAGGCTCTTACAATATTTTTGATTTACATAGAACATCCGGGCGGTTCTGGTGTCATTCTCAAACATGCAGTCTGTCAGTTCCTCATCTTTGCACTTTCTGAAGTTAATGATAAAAGGGCCATGATGCTACCTTGGCGTTCGATCCAATCCATCCAGCCGACACATTAGAGAAGTACCTTGACCAGTCTAAGCATCTAGGATTGGTGGATATGAGTACAGTCCAGCAGCAAGAGGATTCCATCTTAGAAAAGTCTAAGATAATCGAAAGACAGCAAATTATGAAACGCATGCCAGACTTAACAGAATGTTACAATCTAATGGATTTTGAGGCTGTAGCCAAGCGTGTGATGAAGAAGACATCCTGGATGTATTACAGTAGTGGGGCTGACGATGAAGTCGTAGGCAATTACAGTCAAAATTTACGATAAGTAAGCTAAGTCACATTACAGGCAATGCGAGAAAACCATTCGGCATATCACAAAATCTGGTTTCGACCGCGCGTACTAGTGAATGTGGAACACGTTAGCTGCTCAACAACAATGTTAGGTTCTAAAGTGGATATGCCATATTACGTGACAGCTACGGCATTGGGAAAACTGGGGAACCCCGAGGGTGAAGTCATCTTGACAAGGGCAGCGAAAAAGTACAATGTCATTCAAATGATTCCTACACTTGCTTCATGCTCCCATGACGAAATATTCGATGCTGCAGATGCAGATCAAGTGCAATGGCTACAACTCTATGTCAATAAAAATCGCGATATAACCAAGAAAATTGTGCAACACGCAGAGGGTAGAGGATGTAAAGGTTTATTCATCACTGTTGATGCTCCACAGCTAGGTCGACGGGAAAAAGATATGCGATCGAAACACTTTAATTTCGAATCCGGCCCTCATCTTGATACAGGACGGGAAGCTTCTGAAGGCGTGACCCGTGCAATAAGTTCATTTATCGACCCCTCTTTAAATTGGGAAGACATTTCTTGGTTCCGCAAAATTACTACAATGCCGATCGTCTTAAAAGGCGTACAATGTGTTGAAGATGTTCTCCGCGCTATTGAGTCTGGTATCCAAGGTGTAGTACTCTCCAACCATGGCGGTCGCCAACTCGACTTTGCCCGACCTGGTATCGAGATTCTAGCTGAAGTTATGCCTATCCTGCGCCAACGAGGATGGCAATCTCGAATCGAGATTTACATTGATGGTGGTATTCGTAGAGCTACTGATATCGTGAAAGCGCTTTGCCTTGGCGCGAAAGGCGTTGGAATTGGGAGACCGTTTTTATATGCCATGAGCGCTTATGGACAGCTCGGTGTCGAACGCGCAATGCAGCTGTTAAAGGATGAAATGGAAATGAATTTGCGCCTCATTGGCTGTAATGATGTTCACAGTCTGAATGAATCACTCCTAGATGCAAGGGGATTAAGTACGCATGGAACACCTGTTCCTAAAGACATGTTGAGTGCTTCCAATTATGATTCGTTATCATCTCCAGAGTGGAAACAAGGCCCAATTTCCAAACTATAATGCGAAATATGGGTTTTTCAGAAGTAGGTTCGCGATGTTGATGGAATTTGTGTGATTCTAAAATTTATCCGTTTCAAGCTCCTTTCGGTCAACAAACCCTTCCAGCCTACATTTTAGACTTATATTAGATCTGGCTCTTACATGAATGCCGAAACTGTTAAAATTTCTATCTTGATGTCGACCCGTACAATCATACCGTATAATAGTAACTCATATTGATACTCGGGATTGCGGTGGATAGCAGAGATTGATGGTGTTTATGGCAGTGCGGGGTCTGGCAATTAGTGGCAGGGATATGACACGTGTATATATATCGCGCACTTAGCTCCTCCTTGATATGACGATTCTCCCGACTACATTCACAATGCCCATACCTACTCTGGGCTAATCACCCCTTACTATATCGGTCCTATCTTCTAATTAATGCCCTTTTCGCCCTTTTATCTTAAATTACAGGTCATAATATTCTTCGTCTTGCTGGCCATCATCAAGCTCAGAGTTATGGGCAGATTAAATCTTTAACAGAAACGTGAAGCATATAAGCATGAACATTTTGAAGTTCAGACAGCTCAAAACTTGATCTAGGTCTTAAGTTTAATGCTTCGCCATGTAATGTGATTCCGTTCGTTGGAATATCGCAAGGTAGTGGATAAATTTTCTAGCGAGGGAACAATAATGGTACCGAAACTGGATTTGTGACGCAGCGGGCGACAGGGCCGCTCATGTCGGACGTGAAAAGACAGCAAATTCAGCAAATTATCCACTTGATGAGTCGCTGCCAGTTTGTTTGTCATATCTAAGGAATCATGCCAGCACATAGTACAAAACTAAATGTCATATCTTCTTTATTCAAGTCAATCGCAGAATGAAGTTATCTTATCACTTGGAATATGTCGGTGCGTGCGCTTGCAAGTTCCGGCCTCGCCTCAACCTGGCCCTAGTTACAATAGCTTGAGTACATATGGTATATGTACGTTAGCAGAGTGCAGCTGACACTATAATAACAAGCCGACGATGGAAGGTGTTGTGGTCCGCCTCCTGGTGGTGTTCTCCGGTATAGTTTGAGTAGCCTGGGCATCTACTCCACTTGGGAAGGAGACGCCTTAGACCATATTTCGCGAGGAAAAAAGTTGAAAGATGATGGAGGCATGTCTGGATAACTCAGGGTTTTGGAGACGTCTCCTGGGTGGGTATTCATGGATGAGGGTTGACTTGGGGTGAAGAAAAAGCCACCATAACTTCGCAGTGGTACCTGCAAATGAAAACCGATGCATGAGTACTCTTCTTGTAAATTGAGTCATCTTTTCTGTACATTTCTTTGATATTGTGTCATAGATAGATAGCTGCATACGCAATTAAAATCTGATGCAAAAAAAAAGGAACCTCCAGCTCTCACTGTAGAGCCTACAGAGTCTGCAGAGTCATGAATGAGTAACAAAGTCCTCACTTCGACGAGGATTCCCCATCGCTTTCGTGGTTTGTATCGTCTTCATATCTCAACACAACCCCCTATCACCATTATTATGAAGCAAACCACGAGCAGATCAGATGGGAGGGTCGAAGAACTTCTCATCACCAACCCTTGATCATGGAGGAAAAGCCATCCGATGAGTTTCCGGAGCGTACCCAGCACCCGACACAGATGTGGAGGATTGGGTCAAGTCGGCCTCGACTGTTACAAAGAAGGAAGATATAGATGAATATGCGCACCTCATGTGGTCCCGGTGTCTAGGCCTCGCCTGACTGGGGCTGCAGGTTTTTTGAGACTTTTTCCCGCGCACGCAGTTTCCATTGCTACCATATTTATTTATTTTAGGTGGAAGCTTCCGTGGAAAAAGTGGCCGAATTCCACGGGTAAATACTGAGCAGAATGGCTATTCGTCAAGGGGAATTTATCAAAGATCTTTCAAGTTACAAAAGAGGATAGGAGCACTGTACAAGGTGTGGCCTGGGTCAGAGAGGAGCCCAATGTGCTAGATAGTTATAGACTGAAGCAGTACAATAAACACACACACCCAACCCTATTGAGAATAATTATATTCCGAAAATATCTGCATGGGCCTCATAGAGTAAAATCAGTATAATTGAAGAATTTAGTTATTGTCCACCTCTCTGCGAACACCCTTTGCATCTTGATATTTTTGCTCGATTTCTTATCACTTAACATGTATAGAGCCATAGAGCTATGACACACAATAAGTGCTTCGTGCATCTTTTAGGTGACTTTTGACTTCAGATACGCCCATACTCTGTATATTATTTGACATTTTTGCTCTCTCCGCAACTCCATCCAAATTAGTTTCTCATTTTTTCATCCATTTATGCGGTTTATTTTTAAAACACCGTCACGGTGTGAGGCTCTCGGAGCTCACACAACCGAGAAAAACTAGTGACGCATCTTTTGATATAATTCAACGAAACCATTCTTAATATTAGATAAAATTTCAGTTGGAATTAACTACCTAATTGCCATTTTATAAACAGAAATTAAATTTATTTCACGTAATTTTGTGGAGGTTTAGTCTTCACACGACTTTGATCTTTGGCTCCTATGATAACTTTCCATAAAACCTCTGACATTTTTCGGCCCATGTCATTTCGGTGATGGCACGGAGGCTTTAGGCGAGCCTAATTAAGTTTACTGGGCATGTACAGGATCCAGAAGCTGCAAATCTAACAGTTACTCCTACCTCCTAGCTCCCTCAAACCCTCGTAAGCTTTTCAATCCAATTACTTGGTACCCAGGGATTTGTCCACAGTAAAAGCCGAATACGTCCTTGTCTAAAACAAGTATCTTATTCTCTCGGTCCCGGGTTGGGGTTGTGTCACTGCGATAGCCGCCCGTGAATAGGATCCGACGTGCGCTTTTTCAACTGACTTCAGTTTAGGTGTCTAACGCGCTGAGCCGACTTGCTCTAATACAATTACACTCAGCAATTCCCACAGAGGCACCCAATCAAATCTATGTAATTCGGCCTCAGCCATGTATTTTTTAGGTCCATATTCTAATCTAATGGAAACACCATCTACCTTGCTTATCATGCAAAAAATCTGCCTCTCTATCTCTCCTGGCAACAAGCCTGGAGTCGCCCAATAGAAATAACGTTCGATTGCTAATTTCTTGTGGGGAAATTCTGTGACTTTGCTTAGGTTTCCAATTCTACGAGCGCCGTAAGATCTAGTAAGGAGATAATGACTGCTTGCTCAGTCAGATTGGTTTTCAATGTTACTCGAAAAACTGTGAGCCACTGGCGGGGTTGTGTTGTTTCCGTGCCCGTCCAGAAAAACTGCGCGCGGCTAGGGCTAGTCCTATAGATGTTCATCGTATCCTAATCTATTCTATGGCATTCTTCGACGCACTGCCGGAACTCGGTAAACCCCTAGAAACGAGTACATCGGTTCTGTTCGGCTCGGCTCAAGCCAATCTCGAACTTAGATGCATCTTCCCGCACATAGCAACAGGCCCAAAAAGTAAGCAGACACTAGAAACGTTTGCCCGACCATTCTAATCACCATCCTCGAGTCAATGCGTGAGCTGGAAGCAAAGTATCCAATCACGACTGCGTACATATGCATACAATACCACAATCGCCTAGAGCAGAATTTGTCACGAGGCTGTAGCTGATTAAGGACCTTACCATTGCCCTCTCTCATTATCTCCGACATATTTACTAGAATAAAACTCGAAAGCGAATGAGAACTACAAACTCTCTCTACTCTGGACTTTTATGGCTCAGTCTCTCGAGGCAAAGATAGTCGTGTTGGGTGCGCAAGGGGTAGGAAAGACAAGTTTGGTACACCGGTATGCACGCTTTGCCCCTTTCATTATGGTTTCAGAAGTCTTGTTGGGAAAGGTATCTTCTTGCACCAGCTAATTATCCCTAAAGATACGTTCGGAATCATTTCCAACCCACTAATATCACGAGTACGGTTGGAGCAAGCTTTCTCACTAAAAGAGTGATAGATGATGAAAGTGACACAGTAGTGCGGCTTCAGATCTGGGATACAGCTGGACAGGAACGATTTCGGTAGGTGACATGGCCAAGCTTCTCCTGCTCATAGGCCTTCTAACCCCCTCAGATCTATATCGCGTCTCTACTACCGTGGCGCCAATGCTTGTATTCTCTGTTACAGCATCACAGACTCGGAATCATTCACAGAAATGGGAGTATGGCTGCTTGAACTTCGCCGTAACTTACCACCCGACATAATTCTGCACGTCGTCGGCACCAAATCTGATCTAGTGACTCGCAATCCCTCGTTTCGCCAAGTTCCATTCGAACGATGTATCGCGTACGTGGCTGAAAACCTTGCGCCGGGGATGGGTGGTACTCCGCCGGCTAGTGCTGGTGCTGGGGAGCGCTGGAGCGAAAATCGTGTCGGAATATTCGAGCGTGCATTCAGTGGTGCTGAGGATGCGCGTAGTCCCAGCAGCAAGCGCAGCTCCGGATTCTGGGGCCAAGAGATCGGTTGGGACTGTTGCCATGAGGTCTCAGCTGAATCAGGCGAGGGTATCGACGAAGTATTTCGTGTTATAACTCGGAAACTCGTCAACCAGAACTTTCAAAGTCAAGAGGGACCCCTGAGCCGAGTACAGAGTCCCGGTATGGAAGATAGTGAGAATGGCGAGAGTGGGATATACCCTGAGCGTAATGCAGCAGCAAGGTCGGGCGGCAGTTTTCGGGTAGGAAGAGACCGTAGGAGTTGGTTTGGCGTACCTGTGGAGAGCTTTGCAGAGGAAGTGAGAGCTACTTCTGGAGAAACTGAAAATATCACTAGGCGAAAGGGCAAAGGCTGTTGTTAACTGACTTCACATTTTCCCTTTCTTCTCTCTCGGCCTATAGGAAAAATTCGGCCTCCACATTCTTACCATACTCGAATACACCGATTCTACGCACCATCATCTCGTCTCTCCCTAATATCTATTCTGGCTCGAAACCAATACTAGATTTTATTACTATCTGCTGACGCCATTTCCTGGAATGTTCCGCTCAAATCATGGAGGACTCTATTCATACTAGCACACAAAGCTTTTACTCGAGTTTTCGAAGCGGCAACCTAGACTCGAGTAAATTGCTGTCTGGCATAATCAAAACGGTCGTTACTAATAGCACCGCCTAACTCCATTCAATCCTCGTTTGAATTCGTCTGTCTCCAGCCCTTAAAGTCCTTGATAGACCACTGGCTTACTGCCGGAGACATGAGCTTGGCTTCCCAAGACACAAGGGTGGGACAGGTTATAGATTACATCGAATTCACTTCAAAAATTTCCTACAGGTAAATTTCTTGAATACACACATTTGATGGTATGTGTCTAGCCTTTCCTAGGCGATAATAGCTGATTTAAATAACATCGACCTTACTCTATGAATATGTACGCAGTAAAGTGAGTGGATTATCTACCAGGCCATCAAATATTCTATCCACCTATTTCCAGTAGACAATGTGGATAAAAGTGGAGAAAATTCCAGAACTCGAGAGGATGCCGTCGCATAGATGTGGAAACTAGTTAGATGTATACTACAGTCTAATAGGCTGAGAAAAAACTGTAGTTATGTCCTAAAAAAAGTTACTGGTCTCATAAGGGCCCAAGTCAATTGAGTTAACCACGCGAATTTTTCACATCAGAACACAACAGCTATTTTGCTTTTTTGCTTGTGCTATCCTCACATTAGCTGAGTTTAGGCTATTGCTAGCCTTTCTTGTACTATGATAGTAGAAATTGACGCTCTTAAGGACGTATAACTTACTGTAAAACATCTTGCTCTGAGCACTTAGGCCATCACTTTTGGCCACCAAATCATCAATTTTTTCACCACGCTGTAAAACGCTCTCAATTGTCTTGTGGAGAACGATCTTTGTCTCGTCTAACTCTTTTTGTATCTTCATGATACTGTCTGCTTGTTGTGGATCCTGATACTTGACAATATAATCCTTGAGAGCGGGAAACGAAAGCGTCGGAGCGCTGGCAGCCCATTCGGACCGAGGATGTAAGGCCAAAAACTCATCTAGCACCTTAGAGAGAAGCTGATGCGCGACAAGGGCAGGATACGCGTGATTGCTAATAATGATGCCACAAACACCTTCACTGCGGCCATAGGCATGAAACGTATAATCTAGTAGAAGTCAGTTTGCGCGTGGCAAAGTTTTACATCTTGATTGGCCTATGTGCGAGCTAGGTGACTTTATGGTGGATGGATTATCGCTACCTTGTTCCTCAACATCTTGTCGTTGACCTGGCCGTGTGCGCTCGGCAACAGTTTTGCTGAAGAGAGTCATGAATTCAGCGTAGCTACCGTTGATGTAAGCGTGGTATTAAATTTTTAAGCGTTGTTATCGCCACCGATCAAGCCTAACCGGCGTGTTGCAGCAGATATAAAGACAAGCTAGCTCATACAATTGGAGGGACCACGCACTTGTTCCTCGTGAAGCGGGAGTAGGCACTCAAATCCTTCTCAGCGACCAGTTCGTGGCAAGGTTTACCTTCATTTTTGATTATCTGGTCCAGTATAGTTAAGTTAGTGATATGCGGAACCTCGGGGCTAAAGTAAAGAAGATGAGACTGGAAGGAGTAGTTACGCCGATGTAGTGTATCTTCATGGTGGTTGATTGCTTGTATCCGCGGATCGGATAAATTTTAATGGATGGTACTAATGGAAGAAAGGCGAAAGAAATTGGTCAAGTGATTGAAATCAGGAAAGTAATCTGAATGGCGGTTATTTAAATGGTTTCCTTGATGAGTTCGCAGTATCTAAAACGTTTGTGACTGTACAGCTATCCATCACACGTCACGATAAGGCTGATTGATAAGGCTCCCACGAGGCTACACTTGCTGCGGGGTCTTTGAAGATCTTCACTGTAATTGGTCTTGGTGTCTGTTATTACTAATAGTGTAGTGTGGATTTTTGATTGTGTAGACCAGCTACAGGTGTGTCTACAGGGGAATAGGGTACTTTGTTTCAAACTAAGTTACAAAGAGCTGTGAAAGGTTGGATGGTGCAGTGGTACACCATACAGGCCACTTTCCTCAAGAAGACACTGTATAGCCTGAATATCTACCCCATTTTAGATAGAAAATATCCGTTTCATATTCAGGCGATCATCACAGCACAATTTCGCGACAATGTCCGTTCTTCGGGATGATGAAAGCACATTAGGATAGATACAGGTTTTTGACGCTTTCACCTGTGGTGGGTATGCACGGAAGAGGTTACACGCCGTAAGGGTTAACCTCAAGTGGTATCTGCAAATGAAACCTAAGTGTGAGTGTTTTAAACGTCAGATTGAGTCATCCTACTTCAAGTTCATATCTTCCGATAAAACCTGCACGCGCCTCAAGGCGCCAAATCAGGATAACTGAATAATTTATTTATTTATAGCCATGTAGGCAGCGTCTTGCGTGAAAACAACCAAGTCACATTCATTCTCCAGCACTTCCATCAAAATTATTCCTCAAAAAATAATATATGAGGAAATCTAAAATTGACAATGAATGCACTAATCGTAATAGATCAAAATTGGGGTACGAAAGTTTTTTTTTTTTGCATCAGATTTTAATTGCGTATGCAGCTATCTAGCTATGACACAATATCAGAGAAAAGTACAGAAAAGATGACTCAATTTACAAGAGAAGCACTCATGCCTCGGATTTCATTTGCAAGTACTACTGCGAAGTTATGGCGGGACGAAAGCTTAATACCTAACGGCGGTGTCCCCCTTTAACCTCCATCTCTTACTCTAGATTCTGCAGAGCCGAGATTCAGTGTAACCTTTTCAACTTTGAGCTGATTTATCTAATCCTCCTTCAAAGATACATTTCCAGTAACGCACAAGACTATCAAGACAACGATAATGATGCTGGCAGAAGTGAAGGATATTGCGCTACCTGATGCTACAAATGTATTTAGAGAAACCCTATTCATATTCCAAAATATTCCAAAATATTCTACCCACCGACAGGTAAACAACTAGCCCACGTAAGCTAAGAGAAAATCCGATCTGATCTCAAGAAAACTAGATTTCGGCTTGTCAACAAAATCTTGTCTTTAATTCTTTACATCCGACAATTCTAGCCAGGATGGCGTCCAAACTACACGAGTTACTCGAATGCTCCATTTCTGCAAAGACCTTTTCTCGCTAACCTAAGCTATTCCACGCCAATCACTCTCGACCAAGACTTTTCTGACATCCTTTCACGACCTTCAGTTATCCTTAAGCATGAATCGGGGGAGAAGTAAGGAAGAGAAATACCCTTAGCTAAACATAGATCTGCTGTGCCTGGCTAGCCGGACCTCTCGGACGCTTCAGAAGGGAGGCTATATCTTCAGATTAAGTCCTGATGTTGGTAGTATGAAAGCCTGGCGCCCAGTGATTTTTGAGAAATTTAACAGCGGCTACACAACCACAAATGGCCATCATTTCGTCGGCTGGAGAGGCGACATGTTGACGGAATAGTAGCACCTCTAGGAGTGCACTCCGGTGAAGACATATGGGGGTAACACTGCTGGAAAGATGTGAAGGAGGTATAGCAGGGACTACACTAACCGAAGCACGGATAATCCTGGCCTGTAAGCAAAAAGGAGCTATACGTCTTTATATAAAAATAGGCCCTACAGTGCAGTTAATATTAAACCACAAACTAAACGCACCATTGGAGAAATTCGAATATTCCATCTGTCCTTTCCTCTTGCCATCGAATTGCATTATTTTTGAATCATAATTGGACTCAAGGCATCAAACAACGCTACCAGTTCGCAAAAAGTGTCCAATTATTTTGAACAACTTGAGAGACCGCCCCAGGACTCTCCTTTAAATATCTTTCCTTATATAGTCTCCATAATACGTAGAGATAAGCAAGGCCAAGTTTAATGGGAAGAAAAAATCACAACCCGCCGTCTCTACGCTCGATACTGACAAGACTGTGTCGATCAATATTGATAAGGAAATATCTCAACCATCCTTATCTCTCACGAGATGGAAGGACCGTCATACCCTTCTCCGACCGAGCTAAAACTGTCGGATAAAGCAGCATTAAAAACAGAATTTCCGCTTGAGTTACGAGTGATACTCGGTGCCTAAGAACGACGAACCGCCTAAACTGTGACAATAAGTAGACACAACTTTTAAGGCTGTGCAGCAACCTGTGACCAAAGCCCCAAAGAAAGACTCTCCGAAGGCAAAAGTCGGCAAACAAGTTTTTACTCGCCTCAGTAGTGACCATCTGTGGCGTAAGCTTTCACTGGCATGCGCACAGCAAGCAGTAGAGGATTAGATTAGGTGCGTTGTGGGTGGCTCCGGCTCTTTACACCGAGTTAAAACCGCTTTTAGACTCTGATAAAGCGAGAATGAATAAGGCAATAACTCGAAGAAGCTTCCGAACTTGTCGCCTTTCGAATCGCGAATGTACCCGCTGTAAAAATGACAGAGTTATTTGGGAAGTGCGATAAGGGTTGCCAGACACTTGCGACATATCAATTTAGAGGTATTAAGGCTTGAGTTAATAGATCAAATGAGAAAGTGGCAAAATTTTATTGTTATTGTTAAAAAAGAGTAATACATCTGTTAGACACCGAGGGTCAAATGAAAAATGTAAAGTAAAGTGGTATTGATGAAATCTCTGCTCCTCAACTCCTCTCCAGCAGTGATGCTATATACCCATCTGAAACTATTTCGAGGAGAGATTATCTTCTCCTCGTTTCCCAAAATTACATATGAAATATATTACATGTGTTGAAGATCAAAAGATCTCATGTGGGAGCTTTGACTATCCTGAACATCCTGAACATCCTAGTCATCCTGATCACCATATCCCTGGTGAGATATCAAAGCTCGAGTTAGTTAATCTGACAAGATGTGTCATCCCACTATCCAATGATTCTCATTACCATATTCAGTAGGTTCCAAACCATCAGATGTTTGACAACATCTTAGTGTGTAATTGTCACATTAGTAGGATGGTAGTTGGCATGGTTTAAGGTTTAGCAATTATTGAATATCTCAAGACCCTTGTGTAGCTAGATGTTCTCTTCCCTTCTCATTGCACAACTCATTTATAATATTTATCTCGTTCTTCGTACCCTCGCCCTGTGACAGTAAGTGTGACAGAAACCGAGTTGGTAATGAATAAATCGGGTTATTAAACTATATTAAGAGAAAATAAATCTCTAGCTACTACTAACAGGTACTTTGTTGGTGAAACACGAAGTAATACAAATTGGGTGCTGTCACGAAGACAGTGAATAATGTCAATTAACTGGTATGTTGATATACATAAAACATTGTCTCTCTCCCTTTCCTTTCCTTTCCTCTCCTCTCCATCTCCCCTTTCTTCCTCTAGTCCAAGCGCCTTGCTAATGAGATAAGTCAGATCCCTGTCAGTGTCCTAACAACAACCTGAATACCGCAATAAGATAGAACAATTCATACTGCCCAAATATGACCCTTTTACCAACATACTTATAACGCTTGGTCCGCTCCGTGAATCTGCTGACTGATAACTTTCCCCTAGGCCTAATACTTGCTACCGAGCCAAGTATTATCAGGAGCCATTATGCTATGATGTTGCTTCGACCTCCTGGATAGTAGTGTGACGACCAGAAGGGAGCACAGGTTTGCAGATGAACAAGTCGAATCAGATAAGGACTCAGATCTGGAATATAATTCATAAGATTCTAAACTAAGGGAAGAAAATTGTTGGTATCACAGGTAACAATTGGATCCAATTAAGGGGTCTGATGTCAGTATATGTGAATGATGTCTATTCTTCCCATCTAAGGAGATGGCGATGCTGTATCTATATGATTACATAATTAAACTAGAATTACACGTGATTACGCCAGTTCTACAGATATACTCCAAACACTGGCAGTTTTTCTCTTTTGAGAATAATTTCATAATTGTTGCCAAATCATAAATTGCAGATCATATTTAAGGAAATAAATTTATCAAAATGAAAGTTTTTGTGGTAGGCCAATATCTTCATGCAGATAATTAAAGTTTTTCAGGAGTTCTCTTCACCCATCCCTCAACACGTATCCTGAGGCAATTGGTATCAATAAAAGTAGTGAGTGCATTATTGGGAGCATTTTTAGTCATTGCGTCAGAAGGATTATCTTCTCCATTGATCCATCGAATTTCCATAATCTCTCGACGCTCATAGGATTGTCGAAGGGCCATGATGTCGATCATGAGTCGCTTCTCTTTGGTGCTACCAAGCTTGACAAGACATTTGTAGAGAGAGTAAGAATCAGTACACACAACCATTGGAGTTCTGGCAATCTCAATCTGGTTTGTAATTTTTTTGTAGAGTGCTTAGTATGACGTGAGCAATATCAACTCCGCTACTCATTGCAAGGATTTCAGATGCTAAAACGCTTTTGGTAACTCTCTTAGCCTTGACAGAAAACCAGTGAATGATATTACCTTTGATAACAAATTCATAGTCCATTGTTGAAGTCTTGTTTGCTAAAATTATTATAGTTCCAATTTGTGAACTTAAATCTTTGTTATTTGCAAACGAGCCGTCGACAAAAATGTACAGCTTCGCGCTGTTTAGTTCCAATGGAACGTAGGTCAATCCACGGTCTACGTTTTTCTTTTGC